CTCAAAGTTGAAGCTGAAATACATAGGAGGGGCAAAACATTGTGCGTGGTGTGGTGGCACATGCAAACTGAGGCGCTTTCAAGACTCCAACCAACCAATCAGGGACGTGCATGTCAGAGAGCGCGGATGCAACCGCAAACAAAAAAAAAAAAGATTTGAGAGGAGAGGAGGAAGAGGGGGAGGAGAGAGGTTCATTTCCCAAAAACAAAATAAAATGAGATTTGATGTTACAGAGGAGTGAGAGGATCCTGGGGGGGCGGTGTTCCTCAGACCTGCAGACGGAGCCAGGCCTCAGCCCGGCTGCATGCAACCCTTCACATGGAAAAAACTCGGGGGAAGGAAGAGGGGAGGAGGGGGAGGAAGAGGAAGGGTATCTCTCCTGCGAGTGTAAACCCACTGGCGGTGTGCAGGATCATGAAAAACCAAAAGAAAGAAAAGAGATGGTGGAGAAAAGACGTGCCACCAGGATAAGTCTATCTCTGGAGCCGGGTTGGATTCTAGGCGGGGGGCTGGCTGGTGTCGGGCTACTACTGAGCTCAAAGATTGGTTGGGCGGCGTGCATCATTTGACCATGCAAAGTTTATACCTTGGGTGTTCTCCTGAAGTCAAAGTTCTGTAGGTCGTGGGTTTCATAGTTCCTGTTTTTAGTCTGATGGTAATGTCACAGAGAAAATATGCAGACACAGAAGAAGGTTAAAGACAGTCAGAGGAAGAGGGGCGCAGCAAAATATCCAACAAATGACTTCAAGCGGGAGGTGGAGGGACGCACAGACACATCTCAGACTGGCCACCTGTCTCTGTGTTATTAGAAACAGCTGTTTGGTACTAACTGTTATCCTACAGTGAGACCCAGTGACCGTCCAGTTACATTTAGAGCGAGTTAGAGACAAGTCCTTCCTGTTGCGGTATTCTTGGAGCAGAATCGTGTTGAACTTTGATTCTCACTCTCATAAACACTGTCAGCATGTTTAAACCTGATGGAGCCAGGCTAACAGTTACCCCTGCTTCCAGTCTTTGTGCTAAACTAGGCTAAACTCATTCTGGGTGTCCATCGGAAACCTGCATCTCTGGAGAAGATAGAGGACAGGAGGTTTTACATTACTGTTAAACTGGTCCTTTAAGATAAACAGAGCAGTGGGAAGTGGTGTCTGTTTTTTATCTGTCCAAAACCAAAAAGAGAAAGTGTAACAAGCACGTTAAACAATGTGTTTATTTCTGCTAATGTTAGCATGTCCAGATGACTACTGCAGTATGACATAGTGTCATTCCCAAAAGACAGTTAGCATAGCATTAGATAACATTATCTAGTGGGGTTACAGGTTACGTTCAGGACTGGAACATCCAGTGTCCTAGATGCTATTAGTGTTTGTGCTAACGCTAGCCGCTCTGTCCTGTGTTAATGAGAAAAATGTCTGTCAAACTCCAGATTGTTCTCAAAGATGTTTTAGTGAAAGTGAAACAGGTTGTTTGAAATCATAAATAGTAAAACATAAATCTGACCTCTGTTCCGTTTGTTCTACATTTAGCCTAGCACAGAGTCTGACACTCGAGCTAACTCCGCTGTGTCCAGTAAAAGAACAGCGCGATTTCTTTATCTCCACGTCTCTGTGTAGCAGCGTATGGCACTGACTTTGCATATTCTTTTATAATCTGCTTATTTTAAGCTCTTTTTTCAGGTTTCAACTGGAGACAAAGTCACAGAGTTAACATTAATTAGTTATAGCCTGATAAAACATTTGAGATGGCAGAAATCAATAATGGAGCTGTTTTTTGTCCAATTCTGCTGAAATGAAGGAAACAGTTTAGTATATGTCATCACTGAACTGTGGACTGAAGTCTCCCATAACAAACCGAGATGTACATGTGGAGATGACATCCACCCTGCACGTTCTTACTGTTGTTGTCCCTCTTCACGTGTCGCTAACCTCCTGTCAAATCCAAAAGACTTAGGTACTAAAACAAGTTAGGGGATCTCAGAGCATCTACATTTACATACTTCGTGATCAGTCTGAAACCCAGTCAGACAGAAAGGGGAGAGAGCTGTAAAAGCACAGTTGGTGCGTCTTTATAATTCCAGTGAGTTATTTGGGGACTCAGGATATAAATTCAATGAGATTAACATTTGGAGCGGACTGAGTCGAGGACTAATGGGACGCTCTGCTGCCACAACGGCTTAACATCACAGAGGAGGCTTCCTGAGAGGAAACTCGGAGTTCATCCTCAAACTGTCCTGAACCTCCAGCGAAGACACTGACCTACAGTTTGGTGTCTTCTGCTTTGACACCTGTTTGTTCCTGACAAACGTCTGGCTGTAACTTTGCATTTGTTTGTCCTGAAAGGTTCATTTGGGATGTTGCACAGGTCACTCAAGTTTTTAATCCATCCTCAGTGAGTGAACTTTGCCTCCTCAACAAACACCACGACCATTTTGACATTTTTTTACTTCCACTTTTGTAAAAACTCTAGACAACATTGCTGCTTTTAGGGTTAAGACCTGTGACCCTCCTGCATCCTTAGACAGTGTGTGATAAAGTGACAGTCGTTTCACTACAGAGCTGGATGTGTGAGGGTTAAAAGTATTATCTTTGTTTAATATGGCACCAAATCTGCTCAAATTCAATATTTATTTTCCTTTAACATCAGACTTTTCTGATACTTCTGTACTCTTTAGTGCCAAGTCAGATAATATCAAACTTAACAGAATAAAACTGACAGTTCAACTCAACAGTAGTTACAACTTGGATGCTGATGTGAACACTATGACAAGTGGGGAACAGGTAACTCTGATATGATGTGAACGGCATAAGGCCCGTAAAACTAGCCACCGGCTATACATTAAAAAGTCCAAGAACAAGAAAGGAGACGTTTTCTCAGTGGGAAAATGTTTGTGTTGAATTAATGTGATTTTAATTTGGGAGTAACTGGAGCTTCGTGTCCCATCAGCAGTAACCAGAGCATTCTACTGAACTGACACATTTACTGTTAGCCAGCTAATGCTAGCTTCAGGCTGGAGGCTGCAGTTTGTACAGTTTGTACCAACCAGGCACCCGTAGTTCACATCGTAGCTTCAGGAAACAGGACGTGATGGGAGGGGCAGAGAGCAGGAAGGAACAGTTTATGGAATCAGTCCGGTTTGAGTCTCACTGGAGCTTCCGGGCTAAAGAGAGCAGATGCACAGTCCTACAGTTGTGTATACACACCCAGTGGTCAGTTTATTAGGAACCCCTGTGTCAGACTGAGTCGGTCTAATCCAACAGTCCTGCAGTAAACCCTCCTTTGTGACGGTGACAATGTTCATTCTGTGGTCAAACTGTTTCACAGAGGTGCTGGTTCACCTGTGTGGTCACTGAGGAGGCTGCAGTTTGTGCTGCTGTTCCGCTGGACTGGGTTTTACTGAGAGGTGGTTCTGGTGTTTAGCCTCACTGATATAAATCAGGTAAGCAGTCTTTATTTGTTTGTGCCAGAAACTATGTGAACACTGGCTCCAATATGAGAATGTAAAATATAAAGTGTGCACTACAGCAGGTTCAGCGTTACTGAATACATCTGTTTGTACAGTTTGTTTCTTGATGAATCACATCTGCTAGAAACAACATGCTGCCATTCTGGTCACTTACTTTAACTCGCGTGCTGTAATATTCATGTCTCTCCCACTCTCCCACTCTGCACAAACAGCCTCTCTTTGTAGGTGTTTCTTCTTTTGTCTTCGCCTCAGTCATCTTCAGCTGCAAAATGTGGCACCTTGTTTGTAGAGACTGACTTTAAT